GAAAAAAGAAGCTCTTGATTGTTAAACAATTTCTCCTTGTCAGCACCTCAGGAAATGTATAAAGAACAAGGGATGGTCTCAGATGGATAAAATGATAACCTGCATTCAAAGAAACATGTCACAGTTTAAGGAAGCTCAGCAATGCTGTCCCCTCATTTTCAGTCTGTGTCAATCTTTTTCACCCTTAAACATTCTCTGCCTCTTTGGTTTGCTCTGATATAATTCAAGTATTTTCTGTTTCTTTTTGTCAAACTGCACACTTTGGTTTCCCCTACATTCCAAGCAACTCAAATAATTATGTCATAGCCTGATGACCTTGAAGTAAAGCAAAAAGTTATTTTAAAATACCTATCAGACCTACAGACTTACAATATTATATTAGCAAACAATCATACTGCACCTGTAAATTTCAGAAATTAAGAAATAATCTTCAGCCACAAGATTCACCTCAAAAACATACAGGGTATATTGGCTGAAATACTATTGATACAACTTAAAATCATGCCTTCCTCATACCAAGGAATATAGCAGTGATCAGCCAAATTAATTTTTTTACTCTTGTTCTTTATCAAAAGTTTGAAGCCAACACCTCTGAGTAAGGCTCACATCTCTGTGCACATTTTTATCAAGCCCAAAGTCACTATAGCGACAGAGGTTTGTTGGTGCTGACACCATACCTACAACTGCCACGGCTGCCCCCATCATTTTCGTTCCCATGCGATAGCTGCAGGTAGGCACCACATATTCTGTAAAGGTAAATATTCCGAACTCATGTTGAACAGTGGCTGGCTAAAAAGCAACATAAATGGTGAGATTAGTTCTAGGTCAAATGACTGCTTAATGAGGAGGGGGAGGGAGGGAGGACTGAAAATATGACAGAATAAAAGTCTCTTAATGCACATAGTCCTCACCCTAATATAAGTCTCTAAAAAGAACAAAATTTATGCCAAGATGCCAAAGATTTCACTTTCAAATCAACAACAATTTCAGATGTTTATAAATTAACCCAAAGTTCCTCTGGAATAAACAATTAAACTCATCATGATTACTGCTTACAATAACCTCTGTTTTAAGTCTCTTTTAATGTGAGAATAAATCTTTAACGATTGAGAACAAGCTGCCAAATTCATAAATATTAAAATTTTTAAGTCTTTAAGCAAAATGAGGTGTCACATTCACTTGGTATTAAAAAAAAAATGAAGAGGCAAAAAATAGAACTTACCTCATGAAGATGACCTGAGAACGCATAAGTTGGTTTCATAGTTCGAATTAACTTAAAGTAAAAAACAAAGGAAAATAGTATAGCTGTTATAAACTACTATTATTATCATTATAATAGAGACAAAAATTATCTTAATCGACCAGTCTCTTATGAGAACTCTTCACCATCAATGTACAAACAAACAATCTTGTGTTTAAAACATTAAAATTTTGACAATCAATTACCATGACTTTCTAGCGATTCCCAATCAATTTCAATTCATGAAGGAATTTACAACATCATTGGTCAAAACTAGTGTAGGCAAAACAGCAAACTTTGTACATGATCCTTGTGGCCCCACCAGCAGGTGCTTATCCTGATTTTCCTAACATTTCTCCTCCCTGGATGGGATCACAGTCCATTGTAAGATCACCCCCAGGACAAGATCACCTCTTGTCCTGCCCAAGAACACAACACATTGACCCAGCCAGGTCTGGAACCCAGACCTCTTGACCCTGAGTCTAGAGTACTTGTATAGTAGTGGTAAACTGCTGAAAAAGTCACAAAATATTCATGCTTAGGGGTTCAAATTTGGTGTCTCATTTCCAAAGGCTGACAAGGATCAAAAGGCTTACATAAATCCTGTATGAACTGGCGACAATGAAACAATACAACTAAAGCAAGATCAGTTTGGTATTTGATGAATCTGCCTGTTGAAAATAACTTACCTTGCGCAATGGAACATCATGTTTTACACTAATTTCGTCAATAGGAACATGACCAACTAAAATGGAAATCTTCTCCTTGTCCAGTTTTGGAGAAAGAGTATTGATAAAATCTACAGTTTTATTGTAGATTTTTCTTTCCTCTCTAAAAGGTTTTCTTCTTAACAAACTTGCTGAATTGATCTGTAAAAATTCAAAACATACAACATACTTTAATATAATTTCAAAACTTATATTGATTTTTACTTTAGTGACCAAGGTTCCATTTCTGCCACTCTCTTGAACAGTGTCTGGTTATCAAACACACAGTTACTCCTGCAATTAAGTGTAAGTAATAATGGGTAACAAAATGACTTTTAATAAATGTTTGAGAAAGTTTTTCTAGATTAATTTATTATATCTAGTAACTAAACAGACCCAGAGCAATATTTCAAGATACAAATCTAAGGAAGACTGGTTTGGGTTGCCACTCAAAACCAGTCCATTCTGCTTTGTTCCCTGATAATTTCATTCCTTGAACCTCAAAACCTCTAACATCTTGATCTTTATTGAAAACACATCAAACAAAAATAGCTTTCCAGGAGTAGTAAATACTTGGGAGAACTGATCCCTTGACTTTGCAGGTCTAATGTGTACTCCTAAGGACACAGTGCTCCTGGTTTTAACTTTAAGACACATAAAAGGTTTTCTAGCTACTGAGCTACAGCTGCTTAATGTGGCAAGCAATCCAATAATCAACCAATACAATGAACTACCATAGACATAAATTCGTTGGTGACAGCAAGACTAGCACATCACACAGGACATCCCTTCCTATGCCACTGATATATAACAACATTAATCTGTCTCCACTAGTATACCTTAATTATTTGAAAAGACTTCAGTTTCACCACATCATTTATGGGACCAAAGTGTCGTTGAAATCTCAATGTTTTTTGTTCTGTGAGGATATCACTCCATTCACCTCCAATGTCATTGTCCCCAGCAACATAGATCCTTTCAGATCTGTCAAAGGTGTGGAAAATCTTATCATGTCTTGCCTAGAAAAGATATAAAACATTGTTAAAATTAGTAACTATCCATTTTATAATTTTTTAAATCAATCACAAAGGCATCTACAGAGCAAAACTAATAAATTAATACTTGATGAAAAAATTAAGTTGTTTGGGACCATACAAAGAGTGAAGCCCCATTACTCTGCATTGAAGAGAGCAATAATACAAACCCTCTCCTTTCCCTCTGCTTTTTTCATACTGGGCTGGGAGGGGAAGATCTCTTTATGGCAAATGAATGGTTCAATTTTGAAGCTGACAAAGCTGTCATATAACTGAATGAGAGGGTATACAGCTGGTCTATTACCTTATACTCCTCATATTGCTCATCTGTAGCAATTGATCCTTCATCTAAAATGTCACCTGAGATGTCAAAACTAAATTACCATATATGACTCACACAAGATAAAAAAAAAAGTGACATAATAATGAACAATAATAATAATAATAAATCAGATTTAGAAGTGGGCACCCATGACACAGCTCCTCTTGTGTCTGTTGGCAGATATTCATGCAGAACTGTGTAATATAATCTTCTTTGATAAGGATACCACACAGTCATGTACATTTTATCAATTTTGAAGTTTTTTCATCTAGTTAAAACCAAGGATGGAGGAGTGACTGACCAAGTCAGTGGAAAAAGACAAATTAGCTATCTAAGCATTAATAACTTTAAAGCATACTAAAATATTTGTTTTATGGTATATTTGTTTGTATCCACCATTTTACTGAGATAAGCTTCATCAGGAAAGTCACATGAAACACATATGACACTTACTGGTGTCTACTTAATACAAGTAGTCTTTCTGATAAAGGTTTTCCATATCAATTTGTGTAGTGATAGAAAGCTTGACTGTGAAATTTTCCTCTTTATATGACAACTGCTACAGTACTGGCTCTCTTACAAAATCTTCTCTTATAGGCCTCTTTTTACCTAACATGTAACCTGAGCTATAGTGAAGTCCCACTAAAACAAATGATTGCAAGTATCCTTAGAGAAAAGGAAGGCTTGTTACACTAGTCTTATCAAAGGTCTGCGGTTACACTTATCAGAGGTCTGCAATTACACTTATCAAAGGTCTGAAGTTACACTTGTCAAAGGTCTGCAGTTACACTTATCAGAGGTCTGCAATTACACTTATCAAAGGTCTGCAGTTACACTTATCAAAGGTCTGCAGTTACACTTATCAGAGGTCTGTAATTACACTTATCAAAGGTCTGCAGTTACACTTGTCAAAGGTCTGCAGTTACACTAATCAAAGGTCTGCAGTTACACTTATCAAAGGTCTGCAATTACACTTATCAAAGGTCTGCATCTGTTGGATATAAGTTGGTTACTGAAAATACACAAAGAAAAAGTCCAGAATAAAGTTGGTGTCTGTTTTATACAAGTCTTACTGTAAACTGGGTCACATTCCTTGAGACACCCAAATGTGTAATTAAAAAACAATACAACCCCACATAGGACTTAAAAAGTAAAAATGAAGAAGGGGTCATGAAACAAACCTAAATGAATAACAGCATCAGGTGAAAACGATGCCAAGGCCAGATAAAAAGCCTTGAATAAATACCAGTCTGTATCCACACGTGTTATACATCCTTGAATTCCTTCAGGTTCTTCCTTGTATCCCTTACAGGAAAAAAAAGGGTCCAAGGAGGAGCTTTGTTAGAGTTAATTTCTACTAAGTATCACAAAACCAAAACCAAGAAATGAAACCCTGCAGCCAATCAGAACAAAGGAAAATCAACTCAAATCAAACACAAACCATTGGCCTGAAACATGGAAAAAATATAAGTGACTGTGACGTTGTTGGTTTTAGTTTTCAAACTAACTGAACTAACTGTTTGGGGGGAAGTAGTGCTATTAGCCATGTCAAGAGAGAAGAAGCCTTAAGTCACTAAATGTAACTGCTCATAAAAAATGCAAGGTTGTGGTTCTGGATAGAAGGACAAAAAAAAGACTAATTGATTCAAACTTCAGATAATAAAATGATTCAGTGTATGTTCAGCATAGTTGTCTGTTGCTTTTGGTACAGTAGACCTACCGGGATTTGTGAGTCAGAGATGAGAAGTAAATTCAGTGAATCTCTGGATTGGTCAGGAATCCTCCAAGTAAAAAAAGCCCATAGAAAACATCCAAACTCTCCAATAAACACAACAATTACAAGTAAAACCAATGACACCTTGAGGGTAAAGATATACCAGTACCACAAACACTTCTTCAACATCAAAACTGAAATGAAAACGAAAATAGTACTCTTTAACCAGAGTGACTAATACACTTGTTATATCAGTTAATCAATGAATTTATTTATCTAATAATTTGTTATTTTTTAAGTTTTTTTAAATATATTACTTACTCTTATTCTAACGTCATTAGGTTTCTATCAATATGTTCATTCTACATAATAAATAACAAATAACAAATAAATTCCATGTTACCATGCGTCTATTCAGTAATGGATCACAGATGAGACCAAAATGCACCACAAACAAAAGTGGTACACAAGATGCAGTTGAGTTTATCTCTGATGTTCTTACCACGTTTTGACGTCATCTGTGATCTATTGCTGTACAGACCCACGGCAACATGGAAGATATTTGTTTTATATAATACAGGTCTGGAGCAAAAAAATTGTTAATGGTGATGTCATCCATACGTCTGTCCTCCAATAGATCATAAGTTCGAACCAATCAAAATGAACGCGTGATGCAGCACATTGTATAAATATACGTACAACATGTCGTGATCTCCCAAATTTTGATTGTGCTTCACCTGCTTACTCAGGTGTTACCGCCTCAATTCTTCTGGTCAAAGTAGACTACACAGGGCACATGCATGATTGTCACTTTCCGAATATTAAACAAGATCAAGCTAGTGTAACCTCATTCAAATAGCTATCTAACCTGCAAGAATCGATCAAACAGTAAGCCCTAGCTGTGCAAATATTCTCAGTGTCGTGACGCAAAATCTTAATCCGCAAATGAGGACGTAATGTGAAGAGATTTCAAATCCTGGAACTAGCATCTTTCCAAGCGTTCTGTTTAAAAAATAAATAGTTCAGAGAATACCTACATCGATTATTCTATGGTAGTATCCAGTACAGCTTCCTTTCTCCAGGGTAGGATTTGCGGTATTTCTGACACAATCGCCTTCAGAGAACAAACAGATGTGAAGCGATTAGGTTGAGACCGGATGTGAGCTCATGTATTTGTCACCAACTGTACCATGTTAGGGCCCTGGGTACCATCGGTCTTTGCATGCCGAAAGCCGAACCAGTATTGTCGTTTTCAACGAAAATGGCGGCAATAAACGTTCATAGCACTAGTTGTACTACAGATAATCTTAGTAGACATGACATGCTGAAATGGATCAACGAGAGTCTGCAGCTTAAGTACACCAAAATTGAACAACTATGTTCCGGTTAGTAATCGAGAACATTTGCGGCAGTTTCGTCGACAGAACTTCCATGTTTTCACGCCTTCGATCGAACGAGGGGCTGATGTTCGGGGTTATCAGTCTTTTCTCGTTGTTTCGTTATCGCGTCATACTTGGCTCTCACTAACTTGTGTTTGCTTAATAGGTGCTGCATATTGCCAGTTTATGGATATGTTGTTCATGGGTGAGTACATTATGAAGATTACGTATGAAATTCGAGTCCTTTAACAAACGCCTCTTTAAACTTTGTACATGTGAAGTTAATATCATGAAATATACATAACTCCCCTCAGTGATGTTCGATTTTAAACTCACATCAATCGGTATTTTAATTGAATGTATTTTAGATTGTGTAAATATGGCAAAGGTGAAGTTTGCATCAAATCAAGAACACGAATTCATAAATAACTGGAAGATATTGCAAAAGGCGTTTAAGAATGCTGGAGTTGATAAGGTAAAGTTTATACTTCCTTTTTTCTTTTTTTGAATTCTTTATTACAGCATGATGTTAATTTATTTCACGCTTATTTTCGACATGTATCTCGTGCTGTAGAGCATTTAAACAGAATCATGAATTAATCTAAAAGTAAAACGAAAGGTGCTGTAAATTGTGCTATTGGCGTGCTGGTGTCGAAATTTTTGTGGTGACATCATCATACTAATTATTTTTTTTTGTAAATGTCTCCATCAACAATGAAATCTTTGAAAAGGTAAGGGAGTATCAAGGTGTTTCATGATATGCAAAGTTTTATTTTCCAGAAAGATCATTTACTTTTGATTCTGGATCATGTGACCTAGCAATGGTTTGAGAATGTTTGTGAACGGTAGTGCTCTCTTTAACTGAATGCCGCACTTGTAAAACCAGCTAAGAAGAAAGAGGCCAGTGTGAATCAGCAAGATATTTAGCTTTGATTTTATATGTTATTGGTTAAGACAGAAGACTGAGTTTTAAGACCAGTCAATGAACACAGAAAATCAAAACCCAAAATAATCCTGAATTACTTTGGAACTGAGTTTGAATGACTCACACTTTTTAATTTTTGGGTTCAAAATTTTTTTAATTGAGTGAGAATTACTACTTCTTAACTAATGATTATAAAAAAATTTATTTTCATTGGGGCTGAAAATGCACGAACAATTATTTTTCACCAGTGAGTGCTTGTCAGGTGTCATTATTATTACTATTATTATCATTATTATTGTCATCATTATTATTGCTATTATCATCTTTTTTCCTTTTATGAAGATCAGGATTTCAAGGCATTGAAACAAAGATAATATATTTTTATATATTCATATCATATTTTTTAGCAATGCAGTATGTAGATTGGAGTTGGATTTTAATAAACAAAATAAATTGGCTTACTGGTGATATTTATAAATTAAATAAATAGGAACATCATTAACAAATATAAAAGCCAAATGGATGTTGACTTGAAAGGCACATCATATGATTGCAAATAATGCAAACTGTGAAATCTCAACATGTTTTCTCAGCAGTTGAGGTCCAATTGAAATACTAAAGCACTTTGACTGTGGTTTTTCTTTTATTTCCTTATTCAGACGATCCCAATTGAAAAGTTAGTCAAAGGGAAGTTTCAAGATAACTTTGAGTTTGTTCAGTGGTTCAAGAGGTTTTTTGATGCAAACTATATCGGGCCTGATCCTGATTATGATCCTGTAGAAGCACGACATGGAAAAACAGATACTCCACAGATTGCTCAGCCACGAAAAGGGTCAGGACAGCTTACCAGACCTGTGCAACCCCCAGGTGAGGAAAATTCTTAGGTAGACCTACTGAGTATGCAATGTTACCAATTTCATACACCTTGCATTTTTCCACTCAATTACCTCAGCCTCAAGATTGTGACTTTTAAGTCATTATAATGTATTATCTTGGTTGTGATTCTTGTGTCACTCATTAGAACCAAACCTTACTGAGAGTAAAATCTCTTTTTTTCATTCTCAATCTCTAAACAGCCAAAAATCCGGCTCTCTCAAAAGGAAATTTTAGTAAACCTACAGCAGGTGGTCCGGCCAGAAATGGTGGAGCTTCTAGAGGTGGTGCATCAGGACTTGGACGTCCAGCAGCACAAAGTTCGCGCACTGTAGGAGGGGCAGCACAGGGACCCCGTACTGGAGGAGCAGCTGGAGGGTCATCTGCTGCAATTGCACAGAAAGATGCCCAAATACAGGAACTTAATAATGAGGTTTGTTTTTGATGCTTGGTAAATGAATGAAAATCATGGATGAAAATTGTTACCAATAATTGATACAAACTCCTTAATGAATATGAGAATGAATTAGTTACTATTCAAAACTTAAGCTCATCATCTAGCACTATGTTTGGCAGAAGCATCCCTTTTGCTGGATATTAAAACTATGTTGGTTAATACCAACAATTGTCAATCAAAAGCAGTCAAGGTATTCTTTGATTGTTTAGTTGAGTCTGCTCTTATAGATATGCTCTCATGTTGATTGGTAAACTGAGCAACAGTCTAATGGAAATCAGTTAAACTCAGTATGGACATGTTTATTTTTGCCAAGAAGGATCAAACTGTGGGTGTATGTTGTAAGTCCACAAGTCAGGAAGTGTCTAACATGTGTTCTTGTGCTTGGTCTCCAGCTCACTGCACTGCAACTGACAGTGGAAGGATTAGAAAAAGAAAGAGATTTCTACTTTGGCAAGTTACGAGATATTGAAGTCAAATGCCAGGAAGAAGATCCAGGTGCTAATGTTGTCCAGAAGGTCTTGGAAATTCTTTATGCAACTGAGGTAGGTGCAGCATTTTGGCCTCACAAAACCCTTAGCAAGATAATGGAACTTACAAATTGGATCTAAATCAAATGGAATCTACAAAGCACATTTCAATAAATTTTCTGTAATCAGGAATTCTGTTCTCTCACATACCTTGGAAGTTACATTTCATCTTAACTCATTCTTGTTAAGGAAGGCATTGTTGCATTTGAGTGGATACATTCTCAAACAGAAGGGAACAAGTTAATGTTACTAATCTTAACCTGTTTCATGCATTTATTTGTAAACACAGCATGATAATGGGAGCAAAGAAGAAAGTTTTAAGCAGTGAAATTACATTAAGGAAGGGATGCTTATGGCTGTAGATTTCACCCATACCCTGCTCCTTCTGTCACTCTGCCACAAGTATCACTGTGTTCATGAACTAAACACTTAGAAATGGGTAAACTACTCTTCAGAAACAGATTTAATGGACAACTTGCTTCATTTACACAATCACCACCAAAGCCAAAATATCATGTTTCTGAATTTGACCCCTAAGAGGTTTCTGTCAAATCAAGGAACTTTTCTTCACTTAATGTCCATCTGTGAGAATTGTTCAAGGAACTAGTTGTAATGTATGACTTGATATATGTTGGGTTCCAATTACTGAGGGAACTATGAATTGTTGTTATTTGTAGGAGGGTTTTGCTGCACCAGAGGAAGGTGGTAACAATGAAGAATATGAATATAATGATGAACAAGAAGAGTACTAGACAGAAGAGACGTATGCAGGATCAGTTGTCATCAGCAGACTTGCCATCAACCATATTTTTTAAAAATTAAAACTGTTTCTTGTGATAACATGCTAGGAGATGAAGGGAACTTCTTCTGTTATCTAAACTGAGAGTACTGATCTCAAGTTTGCACCACTGGCTATTTTGTATTATAATAATTATTATCAAAGATTTTTCCATGTAAACTGAAGGCTAGCTAAAATGTAGGTGTGTTGAAACCCAGTTTCTGTGATAGAGAGGTAATGAAGGTTTTCTCTTCTTTTGACGTGTGAAAACAACTTGTTTAGTGAAAGATGTCGCAGCTTTGTGCTCTAAAAGATTTTTTAAGTTTTACTTCCTGCCAAAGACATCAGGTGATTCCTAAGCTACCAAGGATAACTTTTCCCTGCTTAACCCTTTCACACTTGGAGAGACCAAATATATGTTTCTCCTTACAATATTCATAAATTTCCAAGCAGAAAGGTGATGAGAAATTTTAAAAAATCAACAACAGCACATTGTATGATTGAACAAAAAGTTCTCTGAACTACACTTATCAGAAATGTCTGAAAGAGTGCAGACAATTGATATTAAGAACCTGGGAGTGAAAAGATTAAGCAGTTGAGGGGAAAACAGAAATAAAAGAACTGTCTCCTAAATGATAGGCAATTGGTGTTGAAATTGTTAGGAACTTAATGAAAACAAACTTGGAATTAAAGAATGTGCTACATATACTTCACTCAGATTTGTGTCTGGTTAAAGTTAATCCTTCTTGGTGATCTTCATATTCAACCTCCTTGCATTAAAATGTCTTCTGCAGAAAATTATAGAGTGGTAAATGGTCTGCTGTGAATGGTTTGTTGATTCTACAATTCACCAGGTGATCCTTGTAGTATTTCTCTCTTTTAAACTAGATTTAATTTGTTTAAGATATTTGATGCCATTCTTTGTGTGCCTTGGCTGGCAATTTATTTTCCAGTGAACATTCACAGCATCTGAAACTCTTGTTCATGTGATTTAGTAATGTGAGGCATATTAATAGATCTGCACCCAATACTCATGGGAACATTAAGCACTAAAAAAATACAAGAGTTGAGACGAG